ACACGGGCATCCCTCTTACAGAGTACATATTAAGCTCTATCCATTATCACCAATACCGTTTAGTAGTTTTATACAGCGTATTACGTTATGATTGTTCTCAACGTTTACTGGGTGACCACACTGCATATAACACAACGTCACACACAATTCCATTCTACATTTTCTGTACGAGGTTCCATGAGCTGTTCAGAAATAAGTGGATGAAACTGTCCATCTTGAGAAGGTGATAATTGAATAAGTAATAAATCAGGGAAGACCTTTACTTCTTTCTTTCTTTGGAGGTCAGTGTTGTAAACGCCCACAATTTCATGTGAGGTAGTCAAACCCAAATACAAGGCAGCGTGTGACAAGTGCCCTGAAAATAGTACAAAGTTACAGAGTTACGGGGTGCCTGGCCATCTCAGTTGGGTCGTGAGTTCAGGCCCCGCATTGGGTGTAGAGATTACTTAAAAAAAAAAAATCTTTTTAAATTTTTTGTAATGTGTATTTTTGAGAGAGAGCGGAGAGGGACAGAGAGAGAGGGGGACACAGAATGCGAAGCAGGCTCTAAGCTCTGAGCTGTCAGCGCAGAGCCCAATGAGGGGCTCAAACTCACGAACAGTGAGATCATGACCTGAGCCGAAGTTGGATCCCCAACTGACTGAGCCACCCGGGTGCCCCTAAAAAAATAACATCTTAAAATAAAAAATTGTACAAAGTTAAACAGAATCAGAAAAAGGAAATGACTTCAGGAGCCAGCCATACCCTGAAACTGCCACTTACCATTTGACGATGGGACAATTACTGATAACTAGAAGTTCCCTGAAAAATTGCGAAAAATATTAACTCCTCTCAGGATTGTTGTCCAGATTTAGTAAGTAAGGTAATGTGTTACTTAAAGTTCCACGGTGCCCGAGAGAGGGAAGAAACACGACAAATTATTGCTACGATGGTAATAATAATTAAAAGTCCTCCTGATAGACACAAACAATTATAAATTAAGGACAGTCCTTGCAGATGCTGACTGTTTATTAAAGCTTAGGTCACATGCTAATCTGCTGTCAGTAAAACATGTTGGGGTCCTGAAGGGTATGATCTCTTAGAATGTCTTCCTGCCGTGTTTCAGATCAGAACTCCTGTTCTGCTCTGTGCCGAGACTGGTGTGGCCAGCGCCATGGAGATGATGCGGACACTCACAGAGGAAGCCGCAGGTCTGGCTCACAAAGCTAGAACCTACTCCAAATTCCAGCACCGCTTTGACGATGCCGAGTCCCACATGCACTCCCTGAACATGGAGGACGTGGCGCAGATCGTCCGTGCGGAGATCGCCGACATCGAGTATGACCTGACCTTGAGGAAGACACTGTGGGCTGCACAGGAGGAATGGAGAACGCTCCTTAGGGAGTGGAGGAACAGACCTCTCCACAGTGTCGACACAGAATCCATGCAGAGAAACGTTTCAAGATGGATGCATGTGATCTCCGTGCTAGAGAAAGGTAACGGCATCTATTTCAAGCTTTCCCACCTAGAATTACGCACACCGCATGGCCTCTGGGTCAGGAAGATCACTGTTCTTGACCTTAACCGCTTTGCCTATTCCCAAGGCCTGGCCATTAGTGGCTGGAGAGGCAGCACAGGAGCGTAGGGGCCGGAATCATTTCCTGAAGAAGAGAAAGATTAAAATTTGGTGGGAAAAATTTTTTTTTGAGTAATAACAATTTTGTGTATTCTTTAGAAGCCATTTCCCTAGGCCAGACCGCAGACGCTTCACCACGATCGTGGCTTTGATGACAGAGGCCCACCCATACGCGGAGGGTTCACCCAGATGCTCACTGTTTTCGCCCACAGCTTCCCTTGGCCAGTGGGAGAAATAGCTAAAAAGTCCCTTTGAGAGGTTTCCCTTCTGCGAATCCTCAAATTTGAAATCTTGCCGACACTGATGTTCCTGTTCCAGCGATTCTGTGAGACCTGTCCTCTCCGCAAGGCGAGTGTCTCACCCGCCTGGCAAGGGAGCACCTTCGCTCTTGATGCTCCTCCCTTACTCTCAGGACGCTGCAGACTGCAACCTCCTCGCCAGAAAAATACTTGACCTTGCTCGGGTTTGAATTCTACGAGAAATAATAACAATATCACAAAACATTTAGAAAAGAGGAAAGCCGGGGACAGATCATCCGTAGTGTCACTGCTGGGACGTGACGCTCATTCTGCGAATTCTCTCCCGGCGCCTTGTCCCGTCTCTGCCCCAGCGAACGGTGTGTGAAGTAGCAAATAGACACTGCTTCTCTTATCCACAGTTTCCCAGAAAAATCTTGCTCTTTTCCAAAATGTAGCCTTAGAGAAGCCAAAGCTATTCTCTTTTCCTTTAGGTCTCTAGAAACATTTTATCATTCAGCATGGCTTTATGAAAGAAGCCCCATCTGGACAGATTGGATATTCAAGCATATAGGTGTAGTTTTTGGGTTTTCTGAGTCCCCGTCTTTGGCTAGGCCTCTGTCTCCTGTCTTTTTCTTTTAGGAGGTTTGAACCTTCAACGGCAGAGGTTTTGAGTCCCGTCTGGCAAGGTTTGCCAGGGCCAGAGGACAGACTGGCCCTGGTCTGTGGCAGAACTTTGACCTACATGCCTGTGTTGCAGTGTTAAATATGTTCTTTATGAAATGCTAGTGAGGGACCCCCGCCCTTTGATGGTCCTCCTTACTGAGCAGAATGTAAAAGCCCCAAACCTGTAACAGTCTTTTGAATGTGTATATGTGTACTAGTCTGTATATCTAGTCAGTGAAAATCTGGGAAACTTTGTGGTAGCTGGCTAGCCCTGGCGTCAGATTTGCCAAGAAAACTTGGCTTTGCTGGTCTTGGGTTTTAATCATCAGTTCTGATAACTGTTCCTCTTTGTTTTTTCTTTTAATTTTTTTTTAATGTTTATTCATTCTTGAGAGAGACAGAGCATGACTGGGGGAGGGGCAGAGAGAGAGGGAGACACGGAATCCGAAGCGGGCTCCAGGCTCCGAGCTGTCAGCACAGAGCCCGACGCGGGCCTCGAACTCACGAACCGTGAGATCATGACCAGAGCCGCAGTTGATGCTTAACCGACTGAGCCACCCAGGCCGCCCCTGTTGCTCTTCGTTTTAATCCACAGTTGATTCCTCTGGGAGGGTGATGTTAATAAAACTCACTATTTTAGTACAGCCTAATAACTGCAAAACTAGAATTATGTTAAATAGCAAACTTGTTTTCTGGTTTAAAAAGTATGATTGGTTGTTATTTGCAGGTTTACCTAAAAACGACCTGGTGACCCATCTTAAGCAATCGGTGACAGAATTTAAACAAGGGCTGCCTACTATCATAGCTCTGGGAAACCCCTGTCTGAAGCCAAGGCACTGGGATGCTCTCCAGATTATTGGAAAGTCGGTTTCTCTTGATAAGAACTGCACAGTAGAGAATCTTCTAGCTCTCAAGGTAAACAAAAATTATTTGAAAACAAAAATAGGTTGAAATACCAGAGGGGCCAATTTTTTAAGCAAGTGAGTAAGTCTGCAAGGAATAGGAATTAGAAAAGGGAGACGTTGGTCGACCGTCCGTGCAAATGGGAGTAAGGCTGGCAGGGGACAGGTGGTCAGAAACTACGTGTAGCTGCAGGTACGGGGTAGGCCGTTCCGTGCACCGTGATCCCGGTGATTCGAGAGCAGCGGCAGTGGTTTGCCTGTGTGACAGATGAGATTAGTGTTTTATTTTGTAGCGGGGCCACTTCTCACAGAGAGCACACCTTCTAGGAACAGAAACATCAAGCTGCTGTATTCCGTTTCACGTAAAATGAAGAGCATGTTGGGATGGCTCTGCCAGTAACTTGATATGATACTTAAAATACACAATTAGGAGCTATTTGCTTTGCTATCTAGGTTTTGTTATAAAAATAGAATCCGTGATTTATATGGTTACAATTTTTTCTATTTTCATAACTAGTTTACAGTAAGCTTCGTTTTTATTTCAGGCTTTGTGATTAACAGCATCTGTTGTCATTTAAAATAGTATTTTATAATTTTCTACTAAATGATCTGTTGAAATGAGGAAATGGGGGGGGGGATAGTTTAAGGAATTTAAAAAGAAGAATTTTAAAAGACACCTTTAGGTGATCTTTAAAATTAGATTACTGCACCTGTCTGGCCCTGACCTTGGTTTTCCCCCTGAACTCACATATCCGCTTCCCTATTTAGTAGGTGCACTTACGGGTCTCAGAGACCTCCCAGGTATCGTTCTCCGTCTCCCAGACCCCACTCTTCCTTCCCTTCCCCATCTCGGCACATGGCGCCTCCATTGTTTTCCAGTTGCTTAGGCTGAAAGTGATGAACTAACCTTTCAGGCTTCTTTTGCTCTCTCTATCCTCATCCCGTCTAAATCCCTTACCCTGTCCTGGGTCATCATCAGGCCTCCTAACTGATCTGTGTGCCAGCGGCGAATTCAGCAAAATGTCTAGATAATTTAAGAGCATATATGTCAACATCATTGGCTAGGTGTATCCAAAACAGCATTCCAGAAACATAGCACAACTGCAATGACATTTTCCTTTACAAAGTCTTGGGCTATGGGAGTCATCATCCCTGGGCAAGTCACGTAAAGGGTGACATTTGGCAGTCTAGCAGCAAGCACTAAAAGTGAGGGCAGACAGGCCTCGAGGGGATCAGCTGGTGGGCTGGTGGCTCCAGAACCTGAAAGGGTTCCAGCGTGCTATCCCTGTATTTCTAATGTGAATAGATAGTTTAACAAGGGATTCTCATGCAGTTTTCGAAGGATCCAAATTAAGACAGTTAATGCAGCATCTGAACAAAAGTGAACAAGGTCTTCAGCCTCTGCAACGCTGTCGGCGGGAGTCAGAGGAATCCTCTCTTCCCGAGGTTGATCATTGCAGTGGTCAGGGGGGAGAGCAGGCCATCAGCTGCTCATCTTAACTGAACTCCAAGAGTTCCTGGAAGATTTGGATCATCCTGTTTCTGTTCACCAACTTACGTAGTAGAGCATGGGTACCTAGATGGACAGGATTGGGCCTAGGGACCCAGCCTTCATTTCCTACAGGATGCGTATCACGTAGTTGACCCAGAGACGGACGGCGGTCATGCTGCAAGACTGCTCAGGACAGCCCGTGACAGGAGCCCACTTGTGGTCCTACCGGGTGGATAAATGATGACGTTATATGACAGCAGTTTCTGTCCAACATGTTATGTAGTCTCTGAAAAACCTGTGACGTGTCACAATGTAAATTCAGAGGAAGAGCTCGATAGTTTCCATAAAACGAACACAGTCACTTCGTGGTTGATCTTTTTCACTTTAGAAACCGTGTGCTTTATCACAGAGGCAGATAATCAACGATAGGCCTAAGACTCATCTGAAGCCTCCTAGATATTACCAAGTTACTTGGGAGATCCGACCACTGGTCAGTCAGGTCCCAGACTCAGACCATAAGGCGTTGAAAGGGCTATACGTACACTTCGTTGAGATTTTGCCCTACACGTTCTCAGTGTTTGGAGTTGATTATTAACAATTTCAGAATGTCAGTGTGACGCACAAGGTTCTTTGTTCAGCACAGAAGCTTGATGGTCCTATGGTTGCCTATCTGCCTTTGGCTGAATAATCTGCATCCAGAGGCACGCGTCCTTCTCAAACTCTCTGTTTAGGCCATAAGCGTTCAGCTGATTTCATCACCGTGATGCCCGTCTCTGGTAGGTGATGAACACTGGTCGTGTTTTACCAAAACACAGGTTCAGGCATCACTCTTCAACCCCATGGAGAGGACACGTGGGACCAGCGGGAGATCCTTTGAGGGATAAGAGCAGTTAGCCCGTGAGTTAATTCTCCGATGTGGAAGTGTAAAGCTCTCCCAGTATCTCTGTGGCAGTGATTGTGAGATCTTGTATCAGGATCTTGTCTGTGGGGACTGGAAAGAAGGCCTACGCGTATGCTCCATCCACCAATGTATGCTCGAGCCACTTATCCTCACGGAGATAAGGAAGGGAAGGGAAGCCAGGGAAAGCTGGGTCTTTCAGATTCCGTTCTCTCAGATCGTCATATCACGAGAGTTACTGTCAGAAGTAAGAGTGTGTCGCGGAGGGGTGAGGCTGTCGGCATTAGTGCAGAGAAGGGAGAGCTGAAGGGGGTAGGGCCATCTGCACGGGTACCGAAGGTGGTGTCCACTGACCTTCTCGCGGGCTGCAATTAGAGGAAGTACACGATGACTGGAAACTTCACTGAGAGCTCAGAGTGGGAAATGGGAAATGGTTAGGAAGGGCTTTGTCCTGAGGCTCAGGCCGGGAGGGGCACGCTCACGGAAGTCCCGCATCGTAAGCGCATCAGGAATCCTTCATCCGCTGAATATTAAAGAATGATGTTTCGTTTCAGATGTTTCAGCACCAACACGAAGTAAACGAAATCTCAATCTCCGCCACTAAGGAGGCTATCCTTGAGAAGACGCTGTTTAAGATTATTGATCTGTGGAACACGACCCCGTTACACTTGGTTGTGCATCACTCCGAGACGTACTCCGTCCTGATCATTTCGTCCATAGACGACATACTCACTCAGCTGGAAGAGTCTCAGATCACACTGGCAACAGTTAAAGGGTCTTCCTCTCTCGGGCCCTTTAAGGTAAATATTACGGCAAAGGGAAAATACTGTCATTGTTTATAGTTTTATTTGTCACTTTAATTTTGTGCATTTCACAACCTTTTGAATTGTGTAAATCATGTATATACCCATATAGAAATGAGATTATTTAGTATTTTGAATACTAGAAATAACTTTTTTGGGAAACATTAACTGTTCATGAAGAGTTGTCATAAACTTCAGTTTGGGCAAATAAAATAAGTTTAAATCATACAAAAATAAGACCCCGTAAGCCAGGACTTACCAGCAGTGCCACATGGTTCTGGCGGGGCCCACGCCAATTCCACTGCCTGCAGACTCTGCTTGCTGGCGCAGTCGCTTCATTTCTGTTTCCTGTGCGGTTGCTCTTAAGATGAGTCCTGTGTGTCCACACCTGTGTGTGTCCCTGCCGTTTGCCAGAACGCATCATGATTAGGAATTGAAACATCGGGTCAGCTCAGGTTCAGTGGTCCTGATAGTCCCTCTCTGCATAGCCCCACATCCGCTAACGTGGCCAAGAATCACTTAAAGAATTAAGGAAACTCAACAAGGTATGTAATAATATGAACGTCCTTAATAGTAAAGGTACCATAATTGATTATAGGTAGTGTGACAGCGAGAAATGTGTACCCATCAAATGGAGTTCATATTATTTGCAAACACACTAGCATTTAGGGAAGATGTCAGTTAATTGAACCTTAGAGGAGAAAAAAAAACTCAATAAATTGCAAAAAAGGGATAAACCATATAAACCATATTCTCCAACCACAGACATTAAAATAAAAAATGAACAGAGAAACAACAAAAAATAGACAACAACAGCAGCAAAACTATCACAAAAAACTAATTTAAAAGCATCCATAAGAATATATAGGAAATGTACTAAAACATTTTAAAATTAGAAAAAGCAGAAAGAATTCTAAATCAAACCTTGTCACAATTGGCTTAGAGCTCCATGAAAAGGAGTATTTAGAGCACCCGGTGCTTTCATTAAAAAGTAAAATGAAGGGGTGCCTGGGTGGCTCAGTTGGTTAGGCGTCCAACTTGAGCTCAGGCCATGATCTCACGGTTTGTGAGTTCGAGCCCCGTGTTGGGCTCTTTGCTGACAGCTCAGAGCCTGGAGCCTGCTTTGGATTCTATTCTGTGTCTCCCTCTCTCTCTGCCCTTCCCCTACTCACACTCTGCCTCTCTCTCTCTCTCTCAAAAATAAATGAACATAATAATTAAAAAGAAATAAATAAAAAGTAAAATGAACGTAGTGAATGATACATGGGGCGTACTCAAGCTGAACCACCACACGCCTGTGTGCACACACACCCGCGCGCACACACACGTGCACACACACCTGCACATGCACATACATGTACACCTGCGTGCACGCACATGCGTGCACACTGACTTCCGCTTCCAGGTGAGGGACCAGGTTCACCTTCCGCCTGAAGTACCCACAGCAGAACAGAAGAAAAGAGACGGACTGTGCTTCCAGGGTGCGACATCAGGCATCGAACGACAGGACCCCACAGAGAGGGGAAACAAACGAGAAGAGCCGAGGTGGCCCCCACCTGAGTTTGCAGGCCTTGCGTGGGGGTGAGCAGGGTGACCCGGCCAGAGCCTGGAAAGAGGAGGTGCTGCTGAAAGTCGGCCGGAGCCTGCAGGCTGCAGGACCAGGGGGGCACAGCTCCAAGGGCCCGTGGAAGTACTGATGCTGGCACGTGAACTCCAGGAAACTCCTGGGCACCCGGGAAAAGACCACGTGTCAGGGTGAGGGGACCACTCACACTGGGCTGGGAGCAGTGCCCGTGTCCACCAGCCGCATTCCGTGAGCGGTCGATGGAGCGCTTGAAGGGCACAGCAGTTAGCCTTATGTTAAATGCTGCTCTAACACACCTTAACAGCAAAACCCGTGATGATGAAACCGGTTCTAAGCAATTTAACAGCACTCGGAACAAAGTTCAGGAATATTCTTAGGAAAATATTTATAGGAATATATTTAGGAAAAGTATCCAGTACCCACATGATAAAATCACCGTGTCTCGAATGCAACCAAAAATTGTCAGACATTTTAAAAAGTAAGAAAATAGAATTCATAATGAAAAAAATTTACTGATGGAAATGGATCCTGAACTGATGCAGCAGTCTGAATTGGAGACGAGGACGGTGAAACAAGTAGATTGTGGAAGACCATATACACCATATACAAACGTGGAGACCAAAGTCAAACTTGTGCGGATAAAAACTGTAATACCTTAGGTGAAATACACACCCTGGGGGGGGGAGGGGAGGGAGGGAATTGACTGCAGGTCAGAAGGTGAAATGCACACTGGGGGGGATTGACCACAGATCAGACTTTACAGGAAAGAAGATGAGTGACTTTAAAGTTTTAAAAAGAAGAACAAAGTTAGACCATCAACACTACCCGATACTAAGACTTCTTGTAAAGCTAATCAAAACAGTTCTTTGTATTGGCATAAAGATAAACAAATGGAACAGAATAGGGATTACAGGAGCACTGGGGTGGTGGTGGTGGGGCTCAGTCGGTTAAGAATCCAACCCTTGATTTCAGCCCAGGTCATGATCTCACGGTTTGTGGGTTCAAGACCCACTCAGGCTCTGCCCTGACAGTGCGGAGCCCGCTTGGGATTCTCTTTCTCCCTCTCTCTCTCTGCCTGTCTCAGTCTCTCTCCCTCTCTCTCTGTCCATCCTCTGCTTGCACTCTGTGTCACTATCAAATAAACCTAAAAAAAAGAATAGAGATTACAAAAAAATTATGCGCACATACACACACACAGGCACCTGATTTTCAACAAAAGTGTAAAGACATTTCCAGAAAGAAGTCTTTTTAGAAATGGTGCTGACAAAGCCAACAGTTATATGCAAAACAAATTTTTAACATCCCCTCGAGCCATATCTTGTAGCACATGTAAACTTTAACTCAGAAGCAGATCATAAACCTAAAAGAAGAAATTTTGAAATCTTGAGAAGAAAACAAAATTTTTGTGACCTCAGGCTAGGCACTTTTCTTCAGCATGACACCCAAAGACTGATCAATAGAAGGAAAAATCTATCAACTGGATTTCATCAAAATTAAAAATTTGTGCTCCTCAAAAGACACTGTTAGGGCAAAAATATATATAAGCCAGGACTGGAATGAAATATTTGCAAAGCCTATGTTTGGTAAAGGACTTCTTTCAAGAATATGTAAAGAATTCTAAAAAAAAAAAAAAAAAAAAAAACCCAGAAATGGGCAAAAGATTTAAGTGGCTACTTCACCAAAGAAAATATTTGGAGGGAAAATAAACATGTGAAAAGATGTTAACTTCACTGCTCATTGGGGAAAAGTTGGATTCCCAGTGAGGCACCTCTGCACGTCTTATGGAATGACTAAAACAAAAAAGACTGATCACCCCAAGTGTTGGTGGGAACTCTCGTACACTGCCGTGTAACAGGTAAAATGTTATAATCACTTGAAAGGTTTCTTTAAAAGTTAAAAAATGGACCCACCACGTGATGCAGCCATTCCACTCCTAGGTATTTACCCAAAAGGAAGGAAGCTTTGTGTCCATACAAAGACTTACACCTGAATATTCACGGCAGCTTTATTTGTATTAGTGAAAAACAGACGCAACCTGGGTGGACGCTTGGTGGATGATACACACATTGTCGTATATCTATACCATGGAATACTACTCAGCAGTGAAAAAGAAATGCAGTACTGATCTATGCAACAACATGAGCAAATCTCAAAATGATTATGCTGAGTGAAAGAAGTCAGACCAGAAAGAATACCTATCATATGGTTTCATTTATATAAAATTCTAGAAAACATAAACTAGGGTGTAGTTTCAGAAAGTCAATCTGAGCTTGTTTAGGGATGGGAATAGGCTGGTGTAGGGGAAGGAATCACAGCAGGGCACAGGAAACCTTTTCAAGGTCAGGGTGTGTTCCTTATCGTGAGGTGACTGCTTCACAGTTAGAAACACATGTCACCGCTGCAACTTCTTACTCAACATGTCTCCGGAGGCAAGGGAGACAAAAGCAAAAGTGAACTACTGGGACCTCGTCAAAATAAAATCTTCCGCACGGCGAAAGAAACAACCAGCAAAACTAAAAGGCAACTGACAGAATGGGAGAAGGTATTTGCAAATGACATATCAGATAAAGGGTTAGTACCCACAATCTATAAATTACTTACCAAACTCAACCCCCAAAAACCAAATAATCCAGTGAAGAAATGGGCAAAAGACGTGAATAGACACTTCTCCAAAGAAGACATCCAGATGGCCAACCGACACATGAAAAAATGCACAACAGTACTCATCATCAGAGAAATACAAATCAAAACCACAATGAGATACCACCTCACACCTGTCAGAATGGCTCACATGAACAACTCAGGCAACAACAGATGTTGGTGAGGATGCGGAGAAAGAGGATCTCTTCTGCACTGCTGGTGGGAATGCAAGCTGGTGCAGCCACTCTGGAAAACAGTATGGAGGTTCCTCAAAAAACTGAAAATAGAACTACCCAACGACCCAGCAATTGCACTACTAGGCATTTATCCAAGGGATACAGGTGTGCTGTTTCGAAGGGACACATGCACCCCCATGTTTATAGCAGCACTGTCAACAATAGCCAAAGTGTGGAAAGAGCCCAAATGGCCATTGATGGATGAATGGATAAAGATGTGGTATATATATATATATAT